GTAGTCTTTGTTGAAGTGTATTAAATGAATCCATTCAACAAACATGTAAGTGCCAACTGTGAACTGGCATTGAGGAGACAAAGAATGCATAATTAAATTCTTATCATTCAGGAAATAAGGTTTCTGAGATTCAAGGCCACAGCATAAACTGTTCAGGCTGTACCCTGCCCCAGTGAGCCCAGCACATGCAGTGAAAGAAGGGATGCAATCCAGTCCCACTCTGCCAGCCAAGCCATTTGCACAGATGCACGCTGCTGCATTCACCTGAAGGAAGGATGCCATTTTGAAGTTTACCTGCCAGGAGCATGTGCCTTCTTGTAATTTACACACAGACATGGAATGTGCTAGCAGTGGCCCTGATGCTTGCATGGTCCATGATGTTCAATGGAAGGCTTTCCGTGAATGAGGAAGGCTGCTGCTGGGCATGTTTGTTATCTGCAGTCAGATTGCCTAAATTTGAATACTAGTTCTGCCACTTGCTGGCTGTGTGACCTTGGGCACATTACTTGGCCTCTCTGTGCTTCACTTTCTATATCTGCCCATTTATGGAGCTGTTGGGAGGGTAAATAAATTCTTATAGGTTAAACACTTAGAATAGAAGCTGGCATACAATCAGCACTCAAAATGTTAGCTGTTTTTAGTGATATCTTTACCTGCCTCTCCACAATGTGGTGAAAAGTTCAACTTTTAACATCTAAATTCTCCCTACAAATTTTTTTTTTTTACTATTTTTCCTTTAATAAATTTAACTTCACATTGGGGATATTTTTCTTCTTACCCCACACCTTTTTGTGTATTTGTGTCAAATAACTGAAAGGCATTCTCTTTAGAGACATCAAAGAATTCCAGTTCTTTGATCAGAAGGTCACTTGGTTGTTTCTAGAATTCTCTCATAAAACCATTGTTTTGTAAGAAGGGACAGAGGTGCTGGAGGCTATTTGCATATTTTTTGCTTTCATCCTTCCTGTGGGGGTCCTTATATCATTTACCAGGGTTGTAAGTTTAGAGATGCTCTGAGGTACAGTGAATTTCTTTGTCAATTTTAGTTAGCATTTAGTTTAGTTTTTTTTTGAGGGGGGGGTGATCTGAAACTGAGAAACAGCCCTTACATAGTATTGAAGTACTGATGTTTCATAATGTTTTCAAAACTATTAACTTTGTATTTTAAAATGCTGAAAAACTTTTGTTAAATATTGGATTCTGATGTGAAGCACATAAGACATTGACGAAGCAAAGGATAAGGCAGGTAGTGATTCTGATTTTTCCCTTCCCTCCAATTCCTAACACTGCTCCTAAGGCTCCTTGAGGAAACCCCTTTGTTACCTGTATTGTGTACTTTCCAGTCTACTACAGCCTCTAACTCTCGGGCATTTTACATGGCACAAAATCGGAAGCACAGAATGCTAATAATGCTGCACACAACTGATTTCTAGGTATTTAAAATAATTTGGTGTCCAATCCAAATTGAGGTATCCAAGCAATTGAGGTAGTCATCAATTTGATGACACCTTTTCCAGGTGAACTACCTGGGAAGAGAGATGCAATATTTCTTATAATTTTATGATATTAGGTGTTTCTCTGCCATTATTCGGATGTTCAATGCTATGATTATTCTTCCAAGGGAGACTCCCTGAGCCAAAAGACTAAGGACCCTGCACTGATTGGAGACAACAAATGAGATCTTATTGGGCCTGTCAGTGACACATAGCGGTTGCTTCTGAATGTGCCAAATGATAATTTGTGAGATATTAATTGATCCTGCATGTTAAACATGTTTAATTAGCTTTTTCAAAATGCAGAGTATTTACAAGCCTGCTCCTAAATTGGTGGCAAAAGTTAAATACCAGTTTAAGAGAAAAACCGATATTTTAAGATTCTTCTGTTTAGATGGAGAGCAGAATGCTTTAAGACACTTTGCATTTGCATTAATCAGTGTATAGAATTACTCTTTTTAATTTTTCCTTATAGGTCCAAGGATAGTTACTCAGGGTTCAAGTTTGGCACTGATCTCTGACCATGCCATTTACTAGGTGTGTAATCTCTGGCAAGCCAGTGAATGTCTCAAAGCCTCCATTTTTTCCTTTTAAAATGAGGGTGATAAAACCTCTCAGCTTTGTGGTGACTATCCAATGAGTTTTGTGTGCAAAGTGCTTCACATAGAGCAAAGCAAGTGCTCCATGCTTTATGATGGTGGCTGTTACTGCTATGGAGGTTTTCTTTTTGTAGGTTTTTAACTGCTATAGCATCGTGCTAGGAAATGATTGCACAAGTGTTTAAATAGTCCCAATTACATTGTCTAGTGTTTTCAGGGCAAACATATTTCTGCTACTTTCTGATTAAGGTTTTTTTTTTTGTAACAATAGTATTGCATTAAAAAACTCCCAGATCTCCCAGAGAAGGCATCATCTCTCATATTTTTGTTCTATGCCAAATGTATTAAAAGTTCCAAACAACTGACATGGAAATGAACTCTTGGGAAACAATCTTGTAAGCTGGGGCAGATCTGTACAGTTGTTTGCTTCTTCTTTGATCAGCCAACCCATTACTCCTTTGGTCAGTAATCTCTGAGGAATCCCAAGAGAGCTATTTATCAGTCTTCATCCCTTCTGATCAGACTACAATGCCTCAGTTTCTTAGGCACCCTAAAATTCTCCTCCCCCTAAATTGCAGTGACTTCCTTAAGCCACCGATATTTGGGCCAATTAATTTGCAAAGCAGTTTTTGTGAGTTGATGTCCTACAGGCATTTTTGACTCCCTCCCTATAAATGTTAATGCAGCAAACTGCAAGGTACTGCCAATAACATACTCTTGTATTGCCCTATTTGAATATATTTTTGTAATTTTCTATTTATGACTTATAAGGCTCATGAGTGAAGAGAACTCTATTCAATGGTTTGATAAGCCCATATTAAAATAATGGGTTGTTTTAATAACTATGTTCAGCATCAGATACTTTTGGGTAACTACACTTACTAAAGACAACACCTTTTGGGGAATATAATATGCCAGTGTATGAGAGTGATGCTGTATTGCATTCTGAGCCCTTTTGTTTAAGCCTGGGCATCCTCAGCAGGTCTATCTGAATTCCCTGATACCAGCTGTTACTATGGCTGCATGTTATTTCATATTCCACTTGCTGAATGGCTGCTTGAGAAGAGAAATGGCATTGAATTGTCTGCAATCTTGAATCTAAATAGAAATGTCTTCTCTTTTTTTCCTTATGGAAGTAAGATTCAGAAACTGGCATTAAAAACCCGAGCCCTGTAGTCCTAAATTAAGGTTGTGCAATGTGTGCACAAACTGTGTGCGGGGCTGTGGACTTTGGGACCTGTACCCCACCACCAACCAGATGCCCCAGCCCTGCCTCCAACAACAGGGATCGAAAGATGGATTGACTTAAATAACGAAATGTCGAATCAGCCTCTTTAAAAAAAAAATGGGCTTCCTCTTTTAGGATAGCTAATAGATGATGAATGAAGCCCCAGCTTTTCATTACGGCTTTTACTGTGGGCTCATATTTTGTGTTACATGGATTCTTATCAAACCAAAAGATACAAGTGTGTCTTAAAAATACATTGATCCAAATAAAGTGAAAAATAGCTTTTGACATGTAATTTCACCTTGTAGCAAAAACTGAGAGAAGTGATCTATGAAAAGGATGGCTCTGAGGCCCCGTGGAAATCAGGACACGGAGTGGTTATGGATACCGACACTGGAGTGAAACCGCCTGGCTCTGCCTGCTGGCTCATTGTGTTTCAGTTTCTTCAGCCATAAAATGGGAATATTAGGAATACCTTTTCTCATTGGGTTGTTGTAAGAATTCACTGAATTCATAGATTAAAACACTTTGAACAGCATCAGATGGAATGAGCACTGTATGAGTATTAGCTATTTTTATAGGAATTTTTTTTTTGCACTAGTGAGTTCTAAAAGTCCCAGAGCTATTATTTTTGAAATACAAGATAGAAGCTGTTTCATTTATCTGTAAGGCACAGTGTCTTGGCACTTCTTTGATTTTGTTTGGTCTCATAAAGGAAATGAGTAAAGTCACTGGAACCAGTCAAATTAATTTTATTGTGGTAAGAGCACCAGAGTTCTCTTATCAGAGAAAACTGTTACTAAACTCTGTAAGAGTGGTTTTAAAGATGCAGGATTTTAAGATCTCTGAAGTCAAAAACTATATCGAGGATGGTACTTATACCAAAAACTGCATATACCGACTTTACACTGAACTTGGTACTTTGTCAACACTCATTGAATTCTTTGGGTAAAGTATATTGTATATAAATTTACCTCAATAAAACTGTGGGGTGTTTTTAAAGATGAAATCATGGTGGTGAGAATATAGAAGGCATTCGTTAAGTATTTTTCACTACATTAATTATTAAGTGAATAAATGGATGGGATCATTTCATTCTCTAGCAATGGATCACATGGGGAACCAGGATATGTAAGTGGGTTGAATGTCATGTTCTTGGTTTTGAAACTTTACATCAACATCCCAAAGCCCAATTTTAATAGTAAATTTTAGTTCCTCTCAAAAGCTTTAAAAACCTACTCTCCCCTCACCAATGGACTGGTTTTTCAGATTTGTCTTGAGAATAAAGTCAATGCCTATATATTTTGGTCCTGTACCTACTTGGGACTTATACCTTTCTCTTAAGGGTGACCTTATGTTTTCATTTATGTGGTCAGACACATAATCATGCTATTTAGTCCTTCAAGATAGACATTTTGATGTAGTGACCAAAGACGTTTTTTTAAGATTTGAGATGTTTCCCAAAAATGAAATCCTCTTTGTTCATTCTAGAAATAGCAGTTGGCTTCCCAGACTTGGAACCTGGTCCTCTATTGAGAAACCCTAGCCACCTATAGGTTGAACGTAACAGTAGGTCATGTCTGTGAGCCAGCATAGACTTTTTGCACTGGCTGTTAGCATGAGGAACTTAATCTGGAGTCCCTGTGCATGGTTCTGATTTCTCACTGTATTTTTTCCCAGGTATGGCAGCAGCCAAACTTCTGCATGACTCTGGCCTGAATGTGGTTGTTCTGGAAGCTCGGGAGCGTGTGGGAGGCAGGACTTATACCATCAGGGTAAGAACTTAAGGATGGGGTGGACAGCTGTGGGACTGAAACTCGTTATTTTTTTTCTTTCTGGAAGTCTCGAATTTCATTTGACTCTTTTCTAAGAGAGTGAAAATTACTCTGAAACATTCTCTACAGCCTCTCTCTCAATTTACTCCCTTCCAACTCTTTCTTCTGTCCCTTTACTCTGCTCACCTCATGACACTTGACACTTGCCCAATAAATTATTATACCAAAAAATGGGTGTTTGGAATACATCAGTGACTAAAACAGAGATCACTGCCCTTGTGAAACTTATGTTCTCTTTTTGGTGGTGTTAGACAATAGGCAAACAAAAACAGGTAAGGAGTCCCTTCTCTGGTGTCCCTGACTGATAGGCATCTGGTTCTAGCTGGACATGTTCAGAGATAGGGAGCATTTTGAGTCACTTCTTGTTCAAAGATGGGTCCTTCTTCACCGGAAGTGAAACTGATCCATAACCATATAGAAAACTTGCTATTGAATGTAAGAGCAATTTCAAAGGTTGGAATTATGGCCAAACATTCCCTAATGCTGTATTTCAAATGTCTGGATTAGCAAACCACATAGAAAGAGACCATGACCTTTCTAGCATTTCCTCTAGCATTAGGTCCCTCCAAAGTAGCCTGAAATACTAAGTAAAGATTTGTCATCAGTTTGTAGCTGACAAATTTAAGGCACTAAAAAGCAAACCATGTTATTGTATATACTGTGAATGATGGGGTTCAAAAATCCCATGGCTATTTAAAGTTCAATAATTTTTGTTTTAAATTAAGGAATGATTTAATAACTGTTGCATGAATGAAGTACAGTTGAGAACAGAATTCAGTTTTCTATGGGAACACCTCAAGGTGTGAAAATGTCAGTTTCCCATTTCATAACCTGTGAAATGGCAATTTGCTTATTTCAGGGCTATTTTATCTTAGAAATAACATTTTCACAAAGACTTATTTTTACTTTTTTTCCATGGGAAAACAGAACCAAAAGGTTAAATATGTGGACCTTGGAGGATCTTATGTTGGACCAACTCAGAATCGTATCTTAAGATTAGCCAAAGAGCTAGAATTGGAGACTTACAAAGTGAATGAAGTAGAACATCTGGTCCACCATGTGAAGGTAAGCCTGGGCCAGCCTTTGCAGGATTTAAACACTTCTCTGTGGGTATTTCCATATATGAATTCCAGATCCTTCCCTCAGAGAATCTGCTGTATCTCTGAATGATGAATATATATTTTATATGTATTACAAACATTTGGAGATTTTTTTCACTGTTACTAAAGGAGAAGGAGGTGGGAATTCTAAACATATTTGGGAAGGTTATTGACAATGTGGTATATTGTCCATTTAGTAAAAAGTATAACAAAACCAATAGAGAAAAAACATTTGTCATTCATTTATTAAATACCTCTATTTAAGTACTTGGAGCTTTTCCATGTGATAGAAAAACCTGTGTATAGTGGTACAAATATTGCTCTAGACTTTGCCTTATAAGGAGTATTTGCTATATGGCTAATGTCATAGTCTGAAGTTTTGTGTCATTGTGTCCTATATGTCAGTGAAACTTACTCTTCTTTGGAGATTTACATAAAAGTGGCTCAAATCCCAAATTCCCTCTTTGTGGGAAAGATCCATTGATCTCCCCAAGTTTCTGTGAGTTTACTGGGTCTCCCATTTCAATGATCAGTTGTGGCTCATGGTTCTGCTTTTACAACACCTAGCTCATTCACATTTCATGGCCTGCGACTCTTGTCTTCCCTTTGTTCTGTGCCAACCTGGGTTCCAATTCACCTCTTTGTGAGCCAGTGTAGACCCCCCAAGCATTGGTGGGCCACAGACTTGACTGAAGTTATGAGCAATGAGGGTTGGGGCTTAACGGTGGAAACACCAACAGCTTGGAACTGAATGCTGGATATTCTCATTCTAATAAGCCCTTAGATCAACGTACCCCTAGGGGTTTCTCACTGGCCACATTTCTCTATGGATTCCAGTCTCCCACCATGCTGCTTCTTCAGACTCCTCTCACATTTCCCTGATCCTTGTTTTCCCAACATTGTTGTCTTGCTTCAAAAAGTTACTAATATTCTCTGGCAAACAGAGTCGCCTCCTCTGGGCCCCACCCTGGACTCCCAAAGAACAGCTGGCAGAGGTTTCACATCTGCCTTTCCTCTCTTCCTTACTGGCCTCCATAGATATAAATGAACAGCATATAGATATATTCCTCACTGGTAGAAATCATAACCTAAGGAGACAGAAGAAACTGGCAACAATCAGCTTTGCTTTACATAGCAATGTTGACACCCTTATAGTATTTGTGATTGATAATACCAAGAAGGACAAATAATGGACTGTGTATTATGAATCATTTAATAAAACAGGAAAGAGCCATCTAATTTTGTATAATGTGGAGGTCAAAGATTTCCTTAATTTATACACAGATGTTTTGGTTGACCTTCAGATTTTGTTTTATAAGCCCTTATACTTTGCTTCCATATGTGTCTAGCAGGACAAGAGACACATTAATTAGAAATGAAAATTGTAGCATGGTTATAGTGCAATGTGTCAAATATCGATCAGCAATGCTTAGCAAATATCCTTCATTGTATTCCCTGCTTTTAAATGTAAGTCAGTCACACTGACCTATTGCTTTTGTCCTCCGTGTCCTAATAAGTACAACTTGCAGAGGCTTACTTCCCAGAACACTAAGATCTCATTTAGGTTTTTCCAAGCAAAGGAGATCACTAGAGATTATATTCGCCTTTCTGTCCTTGTGTATGCAGGGTTTCTTGGCAGTCAGGAGTAAGCCCAAGATGCTTTCTTTTTCTCGTAACCTTATGGGTGTCATTAAGTTCCTTGTTTGAAAGAGATTGCCCACAGTGGTCAATTGTGGAAACGATGTTACACTTGATTAATTTTTCAGAGTGATGGCCAAATATGCGGCTTCCTTAGACGATTTCCAATAATCTATGTGCGGTGAAGAAAATATAATTAATTAAGCAGTGTGTCTGTCTTGTTACAGGGTAAATACATATGCCTACAGTGCTCTTTATTAAATTTAAGATAAATGTTATTGCTTTTTAATTATTAAAAAAAGTAAAGCCTGTCTATTGTAAAAATGTAATTAGACAATGTGGGTAAAGGAAAACAATTTAAAAACCCCTCCATAATCCTGTCTAGAGAAAATCACTCTAAAATCTTCTCTTTGTTCATGGATTTTCACATTCCTGTATTGCTATTTTCTGACCTCTGCTGGAGGAAATGAGAAATATCAGTGCACTTGAAAATGTATGCATATGTATGTGGGTATATATTTGATTCACAAACTTAGTCTCTAATTAATTCTCTCTCCTGAGATAGCTGAAATACTAATGAGGCTGTGAAACAGGTTTTTTTCAGTCTTGAATGAGTCTAAGTTGATTTCCTTGTGGTCATATCCAGTGAAGAGCTACATGATAATAAATAATCATAAAAACTTATAGCTAAGAAGTCCTCCCAAAACTAATATTTGTTCTCTACCAACACTACTTCCATGTTTTTGCTCACATGTCATTTTTAACCTATAAAAAGCATCTTGGATGGCTCTGTCCTCTTATGGAATTATTAATAAGAACTCCAACATTCTATCTCCTACTACATGTCGAAGAATGTAGTTCAGACATCTGTCTCCTCTGTTATGGTAGGCAGTACTTGAGGCATTTGGACATTATTCCCTAGTACCTATTTTAATAATGATTGTCCATAAGTGCAAACTATGGTTCATGCAAATATATAGTGTACCTGTGTCTTGTTTCTTCTGTGGACCTGCGTGTATTTCTTAAGCCAAAGCCCGGGTGTATCAAATATGGTAATACTTGCATAGTATCAGATCCTGCTTTTCAAATCATCCTGCTAAGGAATCTGCCTGTTAAATTCTTTATGTGGTCATTAAGGGAAGACAGAGTTTCATGTGCAGCCTTAATAACATTTGGCTAAGGAACTTGAATACAGTGGTTGGAATTGAAACTGATGAAGTGGAGCTACCGACAGAACAGGTAGGGTACAACAGCCTATGGGGGGCTAGCTATCCAAAGGAAGGGTGACTTTCTCAAGAGATGATGACTACCAGTATCACCAGTTCCCTGGTAGGTGTAGAAGAAATAGCCTGCTGTTAGATGAGGTGTGTTCATAGCGGCCCTGTAACAAGCATCCACAAACCACTGGTGTCTTGTGATGTGCAGGTCCCTTTACTGTCTGCTTCTGATCTGTCAGGAATGTTTATAGCTACTGAGTGGCGTTCATTTTTAGGGCTACTGTAGATCTGTCTTATGTTGCTAAAATGTGGTTTTCCAAAACCTTGTTCTTGAATAAAAGATGTGATACCAAGCTATATTGGGATTTAATTATCAGTGGGAAAAGTGATTGCATCATCTCATGTCTATATAATTTAGGTGTTTTTCTCACTTGTAAAATCCGTGATGTGGTTGCTACTTCACAGTTGTAGTTAAGCATCTACTGAAGTTTTTAACCTGTTTTACAAATAGTCATGCTAATTTCTGCTGGGATAGTTTAGAAGGCAGCCATTTAGATGCCTTGAAAGTGACTTGGAAAAATTGTTCCCGTTTATTTTTATTAAAAAGAAATAAGACAAAAGGATCAAAATCTTCTTAAGGAACCTAGCTATGTTCTGACTTATGCCTTCTCTTTCATCCCGTGTGTGTGTGCATTTGCCCGCTCACATGTGTGTGGTTCTTCCATTGTTTGTTTTTTTTTCTTGGGATTCTTACTTTGAAGAAGTTGGAGAAAATTCTGAAGTTGGGTACAATTTCAGCTGTTGGCAAATAAAGTTTTGCTATCTCAGAAGCTCTTATAAGTCTGAAATTTGGAACTGGAATCTAGTCAAGTATGCATGAAACCACCTTGTGCCTGAAGGCTGAACTGTTCTGAGTTTGGTAAATGTACGGATGTAGTATGACTTCAAACGAAGAGCCCAACTTCACCCTGGTAATCATTTCCGAACTTCAGCTATCTGGAGAAACTGAGAAAAAAAGATGTTCTGGTCTTCGTCGGCTTCCCAGTGGGCAGAAGCCAAGCTCTTTGTCAAAGTCCCCCTTGTGTAGTATGTGGTTAGCCTCAATCCTTGAAGAGGCGTATGACTAAGGAGACCTTTCCCAAATATATTGCCTGCTTATTGCTGCTACAGGGCTATTGCTCAAACAGCCTCATGGAGGAGGTGCCGTTTGGCACAGCACCTCAGTTTCTGAGAGCTCTGAAATCCAGTTGAAAACACAGCATGCAAAAAGCATCTGAAGGCAGAGTGGAAACTAGATCTCTGCCGACAAGAGCAGTTCAGTGGATATCTTGGGAGAGATGGCCAAGTACTATACTGTCTCTCAGCATTAGAGAGAAGCCACAGAATTAGAGCCCAAATATGGAAAAATAAAATAGTCAAACTATAATTAAAATTACATTTGGCAAATGGAAACTCTCCTGTCATGTAGGATCTCAGCATCTCCGAGAAAGCAGCAGACCAGAAGGGTCCAGTCTTCTTCAGGCTCTTAACATTCCCTTCTCTATGCTTCTACCTCCAATCCTATTAATCCAAGGAGGTCTGGATCAAAGTCCAGGGTGCCCTTGCTTCCCTTGTGATGACAAAAGTCTCCAGGAATGGGTTAGACAAACTGTTGTATTTCTCCCAGGAACAGCTGCCCATTTCACATGAACTTCACACATGCCACACAGAGCTCATTGGCTCTGACAGTCTGTCCTAGCTGAGATGGGCTTCATCAGCCTTCTCGTCCACTTCCACCCACACTTCATTTCATTTCTTATTTGTTGGAAAAAAGTATGTCTTATCATCATGGGAGACTTCTTTAAAATGTGGAGGACAGTAATTTCCTCCTCAGCAAATGAAACCCATTCATCTGGTGATCATTCTGAAGCTAATGTTAAATTACTCTGGAAACCACAGCACTCATTTGTGTTCTTTAGAAAATATAGGCAGGTTTTTGGCATATAATAATCTGCTGAAAATTATGCCTTCAATGTCTGGACTTGGAGCAGTATTTTGGGAATATGAGATGAATTTATTCTAGGCCTTCAAAGTTTCCAACTCATAATATGATAAGATCAGTATGTACAGA